AAACTAATCCAGTCTTTCCTATGTCAGCATCGTTTGATGAGAATACATTGGCGTACTTGAGTAACAACTTCTTTGCCTTGACCATTTCGTTCGGGGAGAGAGCGCTGCGACAGTCTTCCATAAGTGTGGTCACTCTCGTTTGTGCGTCCTTGCTAGGGGTCTCACTCGATAGATATCGGCACCGACGTAACCAATCCACTTCCTCACAAGTACCAACCAGCGTGCCTTTTTCTATAATCTGTTCCCGGTCACAAAGGTTCAGCACACGTACTCCTGAGATGTCAGTGGTCCTGACCAAGGTTCGAGCTACTTTCTATGGAAGGTCATTGTTTACCCTTTCCACAAGTACACAACGGTGAGCTTGCCCAGCGTTTCGAGGAAGACTAACCGGCACAATCGTTTCTGATCTCGGCGGAAGAACAATCTTCTTAATGCTGTGCACGTTCCCTGGTAACGCACCTTCCATAAAAAGTTCCTCCTGTCCACATTTCAAAACACCTTGCTTAACGTCGATCTCACAACAATTATTCCTCATAAAGTCTAGGCCAAGGATGCAGTCGTCCATTATATCAGCCACGATGACATTATGCAGGTAGATCACGTTGCCTAGTTTCAACTCCATCTCCTTCTCTCCACGGACGGGTATACGCTGACCGGTGGCTGTTACCATATTAATGCGTTCTCGGTTGTATGCGAAGTCCCCAATGAACTGACTTATAAGCTGGGAACTAACAACCGTACGAGAGGCTCCAGTGTCTATGGTCAGTTTACACGGCATTCCGTTGACCTCGCCCTTGATGATTAGACTGTTCCCATCATGGGTTTGTGAGATCGAGATCCTTGGGGCTCTTTTAACATCAGCCAGCACCCGCCCCGCAGTTCTGGCTTTTACTCGTTTCCCTGCTGCTGCTGGGCGGTGCTGTTGGCCGCACTACCCTCCTGAGGTCGTTCACCTTCCCTTTCTAGGGTTCGCTTAGGGCAGCTGGATCGAAGATGGCCCTTTTCCCCACAGCCATAGCACCTAGGGCTGTATCCTTTATTGCGGTCGCGTACTGTAGCTGCTGCAACCTCCCTGATGCGATGGGAACGATGATCCTGCCGCACGGCTTCTACCTCCAGTGCATGGGCCAAGGCGTCCTTAAGCGTGTCGTGGTGCCCGAGTCTCACAGCAGCTCTGACTTCAAGGTCGCGGATGCCGTCGATGAATGTCTGAACCAGGTTCCCTTCAATGAGCGCAAGTACAGACTGGTATGCTTTTCGTACCAGCTTCTCCACCTCTAGAGCCCACTGCTGCAGGTTTTCGTTGATGCGCTGCACGCGATCTTTAAGCTGCGCGCGAAAGACGTGTTCCAGGTGTGCGTCGCCATATCTCGCCTCCAAGGCCTCAAGGAGCTGCTCGTAGGTCACTTTCTTACCGAGAGCTTCCAACACAGTTAAGGCTTGGTCGCGCAGGCCTAGGGTGAGTGCAGTCATGGCTTGGCTTTTATTCCAGCCGTTCGCCTCCATGACGGCCTCGAACTGGATTTTGTAGGCCGACCAGGAAGAGGTCCCGTCGAACGGCGGCACTTTGAATCCACGTAGCGAAGGTGTTGTAGCTACTACGGGAGCTGTTGTTCCATCCCCAAGTTTGAGGTCGTCCAGCTTTTTCTTCACGTCATCCATTACGTTGTCAACCCGATTGTTTACTTGGTCGATTCGGGTTTCAGCTTCCGACAGGCGGTTGTCATGTTGAGCAACCTTATCCTTCACCTCCCGTATCTCTTTTCCGAAGATAGCGTGAAGGTCCTTCATGAGGACCATCTGCTCTTCCTTATCGCGTTGGAGTTGCTCTTCTAAACGACGGGCCTGTTCCTCCTGCCGGCGGGCCTGTTCCTCCTGTCCGCCCCGCAGCTGCTCTTCCAATCGGCGGGCCTGTTCCTCCTGTCCGCCCCGCAGCTGCTCTTCCAAACGATGGACCTGTTCCTCCTGTCGGCGAGCCTGCTCCTGCAGCATCACCATCAGAGCACCTAAGTCAGGTGCTGCAGATGTAGGAGCTACTGACGGGCCTGCAGCCGGCGGCTGGCCCTCCGACGTCTGCGGCGTTGCATCACCAAATCTTCTTTGGTCCGTCTCCTGCTGGCGTTGACTTCGGGTACGGACACCCTCTGTTTCCTCTTTAGGTAAAATCGGCATGATTTTATCCCACTTCTGACACCAATTGTTACGAGCTTGAGGTTCGTGACAATAAAAATTGCCGATAAAATTACCTAAATTAACACTTTAATTTTCTTTACACAAATTAAAACTTAAAACACTAATAATTAATCACACTAATTCACTTTATTTCGCTCCGAAGCTTCGCTTGTCTCGCCGAATTCAATACTTCCCCGATCGCATCTTGCAGCGCCTATGTATATAAATTAGCACGGAAATATCCAGAATATTCAAGTAAACACGCGCAAGGTACCGAGAGTTCGAGTTTCAACTTCAAAAAGTTTAGTTCTTCGGTTCGAGACTAGATGGCGCTAGTGCCGTCAACTAAGGCGCGTAACAATATAACCAACGAATAAAGAAGTAAGTATATAGGTACCGTATACACTATCTATACTATTAATATTCCTTTGAAATATTGTTAAACAACCTAAAACAACGAAAACCAATTCACGATTCTAAATAAACAAAATCCAAAATCAAAGCCAGAGTCTAAATATGTATAAAGGAATACCAACCAAATCCAAGAAAATACACAAATCCGAAAATGAAAGCCAATATAAATCCATTCAACCTTAACCAAATCACAAATCAAATAACAAACAACCGAAATCGAAAGCAGGTAGTCGAATAAGCTACGAAATAGAAACAATTTAAGTGTATAGGTACCGTATGCACTATAAGTTGAAACGCGGCTTAACGGCGGGAGTTAAGTACATGTCAGGAAACATTTCGTTACCGCATTTTAAAAACCTAATTCAACTATGTATACGTTAGTTAATAAGAACTCTCAAAAAATATTTTTCTTATAATTTTGCACATTTTTTCTTATTGTAATACCGATTTTTATCTTAATTTTGGTAAAAACATAATAATCCAGATATTCTGACCTTCTGTGTTCGTCCATCGTACCGTCCGTCTTGTAGAATCACGGTGGCGCCACCTAGCTGAATTTAATTTTGCAACTTATTCGATTTTTCACGGGAATGATATGTTTTTCCGCTGAAAAAAGTAGCCTATGACACTCTACAGCCACCGAACTATCCCCATACAAAAATCATGCCATGCTGACGCTCTGTTGCGACGTGAAAGAAGGGCACAAACTTGTGCAACATATTCAATTTTTCCATGGGAATGAGATGTTTTTCCGCGGAAAAAAAGTAACCTATGTCACTCTACAGCCATCGAACTATCCCCATACAAAAAATCATGCCATGCCGTCGCTCTGTTGCGACGTGAAAGAAGGACACAAACAAACAAACACACTTTCGCATTTATAATATTAAGTATGGATATCGTTAATGGTAAACGCGTAATTGTTATACCGCCATAGAAGGTTAGGGTAATGATCCATCACAAGGTGACTTAATTATTTGAAATTTAATGATTTCTTGCATTTACGCAAACACTCCACGTGAAACACCTCAGTCTTCCGTGACAGTCAACAGTACAAACAAATGTCAGTAAGTGTCAGTTTAGTTTAGTGTCATTTTAATTCTGAAGGTTAATTTTAGAGTAAAATTTATTTTTGAAATATTAAAATTTTCGAAATTATTGTGTATGAATGACAATGAAATGTGAGGGTGACAAATGAAAGTTGATTGAGTCAATTGAATTATATCCTAAGTAATAACTACTTGTTCCACCAGTGCAAGTCTGACTTGTACATGTTTTTAGTTTCTTTATTTTTGTATAAGTTAGGCAATAACTAATTTGTAGCAAACATAAAAATACTAAACAGAAATGTTATCACTTCGTTATTACAAAAAGAATCATAAATTTTAATGTCAACATTGTAAGCGATTCTAAAGATTTTAGTTTTAGTCATAACGTCTTCCCTAGATGTGAACTAAGAAATATAGATCCTAGCGAGCAAAACCTATACTAAATCACTAGTCTGTATTATTACATTCATATTAATTTTACTACATATTTATCTAAATACAGGCGTCGCTCTTTTGTAACAGTGAGATCGAAAAACTATTCCGACAGGGTACCGGAAGATTATACCATTTTATTAACTCTGTTATAAATCTTTCTTTAAAGCGCGTAAACATCTGAGTATTTGTATTTAGAATTTGTTCCTTTTTACACTTAAATTTAGAAAACAATTTATTTTAATCCATCTTCAATTTAAATGTTCCGATATAAATTAAAATAATAATTTATTCTTAGGCTGATATTCCGAGACTTTCGACAATCTCGAGCTTAAACTTTACAATGTCAAAATATGGGGCTAGGGCTAGGCTAGTACGAGTATATTCGTTCGACTTCTGGGCAATCACTAAATGAGGGAGTAAATAGGTTTTAGGTCAGGGAAGAATCTGCTTCGGCCGGATGGTTTTTGTCGAAATATTTTTAAATTATAATTAACGCTACTTATACGACACAAATAAAATTGTGTTCATTATTAAATTTCAAGGCACATCTTAATTATCTAAGTTACTATAGTTGTTAATAAACGAAAGAATACTATTGTTAATACTATTGTTGTGTGCTATAAACTATAACGAAGTAAAGCTAAAATTAAATTAATAACAAGCAAAGGTAAGTAAATAAATTTAAACGTTTTACGCATAAGGATGTTCCCATAATTGCATTAAGCTCGGATACAGTATCAAAGACATAGAGATAACCGCAATACATAGAATCCCAAACAAAACAATATTTATTTTTTAATTTTTTCATACAAATATTGGCCCCAGATAAAGTTATGACATAAGAACGACTAATCAATTGTCAATATTTGGAGTAATTACCTGTAATTACAAACATATATACGAGTATGTGTCAATCACAATCAAGGTTACCGTTGACCAAAGAGCAGCATGGGCCAACGGCACGGCGCAGCGGACCGGTGCCGGCCCGTGTCCATTTCTAGATCAAAAATTAAATTTATACAACTATGTACTAAATACATTTCTTCCCTAATATTTATTGTATTTAAAACAAAAATGCTATATTTTTTAATTTCTTCGAGCTAATTTAAATGTTATGAAATAAACAGTACATACGGGAAAAAAACGGGAAATTATACCGGTCATATGGCTTAAATATAAAACCAGGGCTTAACTTACCGTCTGATTAATGCAGTTACTTATTTATTTATTTATTTAAAAACTAGGTTACACAAAAAATCTACCAGTCAACCTACTGTATCTAAGCAGAAAACAGAGAACTCTAATTATTTTATCTAGAATAATATTTTTTTATTATGTAGGCTTATGACATGGATACTTTATTATATAAAGGCAATAATGGGCTAACAGTCTACTTGATGGTAAACGACAATTCTAAAAATGCTTTCAAACTTCTTACTATATATCAATCTATTTGTACATATACTCTTTTCAAATTAATACCTAAGTATGGTTCTTAATGTATTATAATACGAGTATCGTATAAAACACAAATACATAATTAATATTTTGGTCACTTATCATATACTTAGTATGTAGGTACTGTTAACATTTCTCTTTTTTTCTGTTATATTTGTGCTCAGTTACGAAGACATTAAGTACTGTTAAATTTTCTCTAAAACCGGTTCTTTAGTTTGAACAAACTATGTAAGCTTTATGACTCGAGACTTGTTATTTCATAAGCTAATAAAGATTAGGGTTTGTTACATTACACCTTGTATCATAACTAAACAGAATCTGGAACACAAATGAACAATTAAAATATGTATTATAGTGTGACAAATCCGTTGTTTTTTCGTTTGCGTTTCCTTTAAAGCCTATCAAAAGGTCACTGTTGACCATAGAGCTTCCCCGTAGATTACCTCTTGAGGAACATTCCCCATAGTTAAAGACATTGGGTGCGTTGCCAAAACGCTACAAGCGCGAAAGCGATCGTAACGGAGAAAGAGATTCTCCAAAACATGTTTTAACCGAATACATTAGAATTTAAAAACACATTTAACATATATAAAAAACAAAAAAAAAAAAAAAAAAAAAAAAAAAGGTGGGAATAAGAAAGAAACGCTGGCGCCCGCTTTCTAGCCCCATTATCACGTTATTTTTAGAATAAAAAATAATCCGGCCAATACTCACTTAAGGTTAACTCACCTGGATGACAGAGCTTTGCTCGTTTTTTTTTTTTTGAAATTACATTTAGATACAAATTACATACTGATGAAACATAAATAATATTTTTTGATCTTATTGACATAATAGAAAAAACTGAACTGGTTATTAGAATAAAAAATCATAAGTGCAATTAATTTAATTAAAAATTTCGTATTTTTAAAAAATAGTAATAAAAGGGCTCGAAATAATAACTTGGAAAAAAAAAAAAGGCAGATTAAAAATAAACGCAAAAAATCCCCCCCCAAAAAAGTTGGGAATATATATCATCAAGAATTGCGCGTTTAAAGGTATAGGATTCATGCAGATCTAAAATTACATAATTAATTTTTTTTACCCAAATTATTGACTCTGACTGGGATTCGAACCCGAGATCAATAATTCACTATTCAAAATATAGTACATTTCACACGACAAAATGTATATATGAGTATGTAGAAGAAGACCGCATCTCTCAATAACACATAACAAAGAACCCTCACATGCTCTCTTGCACCTACACTCCCATCTTCAGTCTTTGTGATGTGAAGTCGGCATATTAAGGTGGATTCTGTCACCACTAGTAAACAGTGCACGTTAGTAATTTCCGTTACCGGTGCAGTTTTATTTTGCAGAAGAGATTTTAAATTACTAACATTTACTAGTGGCAAAGTCCCCTGATATGATGTTGTGTAAATAACTGAAATATACTAATCTAGCTGTTTTAAATGTGTGTAAGCAATGCAGAGCTAAATCTGTTTGATAGTTTTGATATATTATGGGAAAATCGCTAGAACTTTCATGTCAAGAAAACAGTGGAATCAACAAGACACAATTTTTCCCCATTTAACATACATTCAGATGATTAACATTCTTGGTGCTGTAATTTTAATTTTATTACAGTTTAAATGTTAATTGTTGACGTTACACCAAAGTAGAAATTTTTATTTTTAGATAAGGGATTGCCGTTTAGGGTAAGTTCACACAGAGACGCGACGCGACGCCACGCGACGCAACGATGTTTGAAGAGGCCAGTGGTTTCGCACCGCGTAATGCACGGCCGCGAGACGCATCGCGAAATCGCGTAGCGCATCGTAAATTCGCTGGCAGCGCACGGTTCTTGCACGCTGTGCCTACCGACGAAGCACCGCTGCGTCGTGATGCGTCGCGCTACACAGCGAGGCATCTCGAGGCGCAGAGCGGCGTAACACGACACCGCGGGGCATTTTTGAATTATCTCAATAAAATGTGTCTTTTTGTGTAGTAAATAAACTTATATTTTGTATCACTATCTTATAAAGTGCGCGATGCGTCGATACTTGAAGAGGCCAGTGGTTTCGCAACGCGCATCGCACCGCCGCGAGATGCATCGTGACGATCGCAAAGCGAATCGTGAAGTCGCTGGCATCGCACCGCACTTGCACGCAGCGCCTACCGACGAAGCACCGCTGCGTCGTGATACACCGCGGTACGCCGCGAGGCATCTCAAGGCGCAGTGCGGCACAGAGCGGCGTAGCGCGACGTCGTGGGGCATTTTCGAATTATCTCAATAATATGGGTATCTTTTTGTGTAGTAAATAAAATTACATTTTGTATCATCATTTCAATAAGTGCTCGTCGCCTCGCGTCGCATCAATTCTCGATGTGAACTGAACTTCAGGTTTAAAAATCGATTATAATTACCAAATAAATACCATAATATCATAGTTATCTCCTACAAGGTATACAGAGTATAAATCATGAATATAGACTGGAAACAAAATGTCCTCGAAAATTGAGCTTTACGTAGCTTCTATTGATGTAAACAATCCGGAATAACCTTTACCATTGGTAACGGCTTTAGGCATTCTGTTACTTAGATAAGAAATAATAAGTTGCAATTTTTTAACACCATTATGCTGTAATTCTCTGATTAATCTCTCTGACTGTGTTTTGGTCTTTGAAAAGTCACTATAAATACCCAAAGCATCTTAAGAATCTCAATAACGGCGTTGGTTGTCGAGCGAACCCTTGTAAAAGCAAATTTATTATTACAACAATTTATTTATATTTAAAAAAAACTATACTTTTTTATTAAAACTTTACAAATTGTTGGTAGTAAAGGAAGAAGTTATTTATCATTCTGTATCTTAGAAAGCAAAACATCTTTCTGATAACTATTCAAAATAAATAAAACTGCAGCTGCCAAGCCACCTGCCAAGCATAGCAACTATGGCAAAATCTAAAATATAGAGGAATCTGTGGGGTATTCTTCTATTTTCTCTACAATTTTCCGACGACTATTTAATATTACTATAGCATTTTCGGAACCGACTTGTTCGGTTAGCTGAAAGTCACCAAGTATTCGTACGGGACAATTCGTAAAGACTCTCGAAAACAGCACGTATATCAGGTCAGAAAGGATATCTATAATTTGTACCTGTAGTTCTTCCATATAGCATTGTCACCTTTCTTGAAGAACAAGACCAACGTACTTTTCTGCTCCACTCCTCTTCTAAAGGCTTGTTTGTAATTAAAAGTTATATCTTCTAAGCCATAGAAAAGTCTCACTTCTGAACTATATAACCTGATAGATGTAAGGAAAATTTATATTTTGCTCATAAATTACAAAAATTTTCAAGTAGTAGAACCACGCTGCAGCTATATTATAGTTGTAGAACGATTGGGTCGACTTGCCCGGGGCAGGACCACGTTCTCGCAGAATACCAGAGGAAAACAGCACCGTATTGCTGCTGTGTTTCGTATGGTGAGTTTAGAGAACCGGAGACCCTTTTTACTGGAAACGAGGCATTCCATCTTAGTCCTCATGGGTGACAACGCTTCTGAATTTTGATTCTTAATTGAAGATAAATATGGACGTCTGTGGGTCACAGCATCCACTTACCATTAGATGGACTGTGTGCTGGTTTGTCACCCAATCCTATTAAAAAAATGTGATCTAACATTTTTGTAATTAACTTAAATTTGTAAGTACTCTTTTATTTAGTCCAAAGTTGCCTTCTATTGAAGAGCGGAGGCTCCTAATACAAGTTATCCTCATAGGGGGGATATTTGTCACAGTCGCCATGCTTGGCAAGCGAGTTGGCAAATGCAGTTTTTTTTATATTTAGTCATTAGGAACTGCGAATACATGGTAACAACCTTAAATAGATATGCATTAACTTAAAAAAATACATGTAGGAGGTCAAAGGCACACCGTCGAAGATTTGATTGGATGATTTTAATTATTATATTAAATAAAAATATAATATGCATATCGTTTTAATTAAAGGTAAGATAACATAATATTCTTCCAAATTGTAATAAGAAAGCTGTGTAATAATGCTAACTTATGAAATGGATATAACCTTTTTTATTTCCTCCTTACCTTCCCTCAAATAGAAGACTGTGCAAAAACTTAATAAGGATCATTGCTTAAAAATTTAATTTTAAATGGCGGTAAATAAAATGTTGCAACATTTTATTGCTAATTGAATATTGTTAATTTTTATTTTACATTCTGTAAAATAAAAAATAAATTTTTACCATAATGTAATGCGTCCGTCAACCTTCAGCACTGAACTGTGGCACTATATTTATCTTTCAGGAATGAAAGGGTCATCATTCATTACAGTCTATTAAAGATCCTTTCCTAAAAGTAGTCTTCGCTCATGGACTGCCTACTAGAGGGAGTATTTGTTATCAGGAAGATGGTGCTGCCCATCTTCCTATTTCATTTCCCTATTTCTGACCTAGGACACCTACGGAATGACATGGATGGAGACGTTAGTTCTATACAGCAAGGAACAATCACAGATAATTAAACCGGTTC